CTAAAACAAATCTGAAAAAGATTTAAAATAGCTGAAAAAATTTCCAATCTGATATTCGTGCATACAAAAAATGTCATCAAAATGATAAATATCAAATATAAATAACAGATGATAAATATCCTGTAATAATCACGTTCCAAAAAGTAATTGTACGTGCGGCTGATATGTTCTGAAAGTATAAGTGCACTATATCTCCGATTATGCGAACTATTTTGTCATAGAGAAATCACTTAGAAAGTCGACAAGACTTAGAAACAAAACTGCAGAAACAAATTGAGTCTAAAACGATTAAAAACGTATAACAGTTTTAGTGAATGTACATAATATAGAGAAAAGATACTTTTCTCTTTTAGTTAAATTATATAATTCATTATTAAATAAATTCATTAACTCGACGTACAAGAATATATTAGCAAATGTCTATTATTCTAGTGCTATCCAAACATATGTACAAATAATGTCCATGAGATAGATAAATCAACTTTTCTATAATTCTAGTACGTCTCTAATAATATTAATGACAATGTCCTCTTCCACCATATCGGCCACCTCTTCCTCCATAAAATCCTGGACTTCCTGGATAACCTCCAGGTGGAAAACGACCAAATCCTTGATAGTCATTGTATGGTCCAAATGGAGACTCATATGGATACGGTTGAGATGGAACTTCTGGCTTGCGTCTTGAAGATCGATTACCCATTGATGTTAATTACTTTTTCTTATAATATAATAATTGTATAATAGTGATTTCTTTTATTTTTATGATTTCTCCGAGTAGAAATCTCAGTTTATATAATACAATAATTAGTAATATTTTCTAATTACTTCGAATAGATACCTATATTTTGTCATGATTCTTATTTCACACCATCCTCTCATCTGTCACGCACTATTTCAGATGAGTAATACATCCATATCACCTTGTTTTTAAGTTGATGGTTGCATGATTGAATCATTATTCAAGAATCCCACACTGATCTAAATATAACTTAGTTATACCCATAGATGTTGTTCTCCTAATTTCTTTATCATGTCTTTTGTGTTAACGTTAGGTGAAAAGTGTAAGATGTAGCGACAGTTTATTGACAAAACTTTCCAAAAATAATTTAAGCACAATAGTCATGATTTTTTTCCCACGCAACCGATTAAGAAAAGAAAATTTAATATAAAAAAGCAAGACAAATGGTAATCAAGATAGACGTTGTCATATAAATGAGTCTAATGGTTTGACTACCTAACTCTGATATTACGAACTGATAGTACGAATTCGGTAAAAATGGAAAATTTTCAAATATAGTTAACTTTAGTAGAAAGACCTTTTCAACAACTACAGAAGTTTTTAAGTAATTTCACGTACTTTTGGTAGCTAAAATCCGAGGAATTCCTCGTCAACAGCTCATTCCTCAAATGTCAGCTATAAGTTATATAAAAGGTGTTTTCTCATGTTTCTTCCACATAGATGACACAGTAAATATATCGTTGGATAGCTCCTACAATTCTCTGTAGAATGTATGTAACATAGTGTATATAATATGCTTTTACTTTTCTAACTCTACACTCTAAAAAATAAATGCGACTTCTAAGAAGACGCGTAAGTCGGATCCCAAAAAGCCGCATTTTAGTGTCTCCTTTGAAGACACATGATGTGACTTTACCTGATAGTCACTTTATAGCATCTTTGCTCTAGTCGCATTAAAGACACGTAAGTCGGATCCCATTTAGTCGTATATTAGCGACTCTTTTTAAGTTGCTTTGATGTGTCTTCTGGAGACACATCGTTCCTGCCAAGAATTGAACTCGGTCTATTCGCGCTTACGGGACGAATGTGTTCACCGCTGAACCACACAGGCACATTAGTTATTCATCTTATTAGTCTCTTACGTTGACATTTCGTGTGAGACTTTGATTAAAAACTTGATTAAGACATATCGAAGGCGGAATGATGTGACTACTAAGCGTCTTTTTCGTTCACACGTCTTCTATGCGACTCCATTATGACTTCTATATGCCTACTACTAGACACATTGAAGACATATAGAAAACACCTACTATTTTGAAGTCGCAATCTAGTCACATACAAGACACTTTTTCTCGGCAGACACATCGCTGAAGTCGCATTTTTTTTAGAGTGTAAATCAAGGTCAGGGTAGCTGAATAGCTGAATCAGTGGGTTTTTCTCAAGACTCAGTTTCACTAGGTTTTCCCACTTTTCCTGGAAGAAAACATTGTCGCAAGATCCAGTATGGTCGACATCCTATGATTCCATTTACTTTAGAGGTTATTCGAAGTCACCTAATACTAGTCTTGGGACTCCCCACAAAGCTGATACCACGCCTCGAACTACAGAGTCTGAACTTACTGCTCAAGGCATCGTATATAGTTCACTTTGTTGGAAATTCGACGAGCTTTAAAATAGTATATGATACAAAATACACATGTTTCTTTACTAGTGTAAGAAATAAGAAAAACTAAAAGTATGTCACATTTTTCCCTAGTCGGTTTACTTCTGGTTCATGTTCTAGGACAGATCCCACCGATCTTGAAATTCTGGACTTGTCAGTTTGTAGCAAGTTTCATGAGTTCCAAGAATGATATATAATAGAAAAATGTATGTTTTCTTGTTTTGCGAGAAAAGGGGGCCACACAAACGAAGACACTCGACTACACTATATTGTATCCATACGATTATTCTAAGCGTCCTACTACTACCAAAGCACTGCGGTTAACTGTTATGTTACACACATTCTGCAGAGAATTGTAGGAGTTACCCAACGATATATTTACCGTGTCATCTATGTGGAAGAAACATAAGAAAAACACCTTTTATATAACCTAGAGCTGATGTTTGAGAGATGAGCTGTTGACGAGGAATTCCTCGGATTTTAGCTACCAAAAGTACGTAAAATTATTAAAACCGAAGGCAATACTTTTCTACTATCGTTTTTAGAACAAAAAATGAAGTGGGTCGATTATCAATCTTATGCGGTTCCTTCCTTTATGAATCATTAGATAAAGACGTTAGCGCATATGAGCTGATTGTATGTGCTTCCTTCTTCACATAATACTCTTATACTTTGTGTGACAACTGTAGACTGACATGATTTATCAGATGAGGCGTTAACATGAAGAGTGCTGACCAACACGTTTTCAACTTACTTTTTCGGATGATCGTTATTCGGTAATTTTTTCTTTCACAGATTTTCTGCTTTGTCAATGCTTATTCGTTGAATTGCGATCAACCGAATGAAAATTATATCGTTAGCTCACACTTTGTTATAAACGTACAAAAAATCGTAGAAACGTATATACGAAACTCGTCAGCGCATCGAAGAGCGAAACAGTTTTGATCTTTTATGTTTCTCTTTCTTGTAGTTGTTGAAAAGTTCTTTCTTCTAAAGTTAACTATATTTTAAATTTTTTCACAAATACACCTGGTAATATGAGAAACTGTTCTTTTGTTTTGTTTTACCGAATTCGTACTATCAGTTCGTAATATCAGAGTTAGGTAGTCAAACCATTAGACTTATTTATATGACAACGTCTGCCGTATTGATTCTGTATTTTTTCTGTTCTTAAGCTCTTGGGTGGTCTGAAACATATATAATTAACTGCTAAAATACAAACGTTTTTTGAGAAACCAAAATTCTGTGTAATTTACAGTATATTTTAATTAATCTAATTTCTTTGGAAATATACATAAATAGTGTGTTTGGCTATTTGCAGTACATTCTTTTAAATCGAATAAAAAAAGAAACAGAAGATTTCTAGTACAACAAATAGCCGAGATATCTAAAACGTTTCACCACTTTTAAACATGTTTTTATAATAATAATATTTACCAGCAAATCCCTAAATGTTTTTTAGTAAGAAAGTATATATTTATATAGTTCAATTTGCTGTTTTACTGTGATATTATTGTCTAACAGAGTATTATCGACATAATTACTGATGCGCTTATCTATCACGTTCAAGTAGTCTTTTCATCTTAAAATTTATATCCTCCTTTTCGGTGGCGTTTTTCCTCTCAGAATTTTGCGATTTCTCTTTAATTTCTCTTTTTTAGAAAAACATTAGTGAGAAGTCAGAGAACTACATTCATCCTATTTTCTTTTATCACAAAATATGCACACATTTTAATATTAAAGCAAAATGAAAACAAAAACAAACGTAGAATGTTCGTCCAGTGTAAAAGAAGAGAATTTTTAATAAATAATAATAATAAATAACGAAGTATTATCTCTTCTAAATGTTTAACACTAAAATTATGAACCATCACTTCCATTAGGAAAACGCCATACATCTGGTGCTGGTTGACTGTAATAATAACATTCAGATCCTAGAATAGAAAAACGCGAAATATTAGCGATATATACTATAGAAATATATGCAAAGTCAATTTAAGCAAAAAAAGGTAACAGATGTGAGATTATATGTCAGGAAGCTAGTCAATTCTCCGATTAACCATTTGATCTAAACTATCTACAATATTGAATGTTATTGATTAGTATTGTTATTTAACATCTAACACCAGTTAGCATTCTAAGCTCTATTTTATTTCTCGTACTATTTAATGTTTCAAATGATGGTAACGGTGTACAAGTGATCACCGGTGTTAAATCCGCATAGGTAACACCATTTGTAGATTGTGTTAACGTTTCATAACTGGCAACAGTTGGATTAAAAAATGTTTGAAAATCGGCTGCTGATACTGTTATAGTTGATGGTACTGAATTCTGTGAATTATTCGATTGTTGTTGTTGCTGTTGCTGTTGTTGAACAATGACATTTTCACCATCCGTATTGGTTTCATCCACTTCTGTTTCCAATTAATACAATAGATATTTTAGGGAAATGCGTACTGTGGAGAGTTTAGTAATTATTAGTATATAATTAATCAACAGACAATTACCTGTAATATTTGAATGATTTGGACTAGCTGGTTGTAAAATAGATAATTGTTGAAATGTTATTTGTGAACTTGGACTCATTGGTGGTACAATTCCAACTCCAAGTCGATCAATTAAACATTGATGAGAATGAACATTTTGATTTGTTGATACCGAATTCATGTACGGTGATTCGGGAGATTGATGATAATATGAATGAATAGATGAACCATTTTGCCATTGCAATCGAGCACTGTCAAAATAATGCTAAAACGAGCAAATAAAATGGATACAATAGATTTATACTTTATGTAGATGACTGTACTAAACTGTTTATAATTGATCGTGTCAAATATACCTTTATGATTTGTTCGTCTAGTTGTGTACGCTGTTGTATTTCATCCATTTGTGTATACTCGGCAAATGGATTTTCATGAAAAAAATGTTCAAGAATTTCAACTTTATCCTGTGATATTGCTATTAAAATATTATCATCTAAACATAAAACAACATAAGAATAGAGGAAATTTATTATTAAATATATAATCATACTAGCATCTTTTTGATATGTATTCTCAAGTGTTGCCCACGCACTACCACTAATGTCAAGTGTCATTTGAGTTGGTTGTCCTTGAATTTGTTGTAAATGATGTGAATGTTGATTGAGTGTCACCATTTGTGATACCGTTGTTTGCTGTTGTTGATGTTCTTCTTGATGACAACTATTCGTTGAACTATTCGACGATGTATTCGATAAATAACTTGCATGATTACTGTTGCTATTTGTATTATGATGATGTGATTGTTGCTGTAATGTTTGTAGACCACCATCTTTATGTTTATCCGCTTTTGTTCTTACAATCCTGTAAATGCATCTAATATTAAAATACCCTTTGAGTGGAGAAAAGTTAGCGATCTTTAAAGTTGAATTTATTTTTACCTATTTATTGAACTAACACTCGGAACAGTTTTTAAATCGCATATTCTTTCTGTTACAAGTTTATCTTTAATTTCCCATGCAAACATGGTTGGCTGATTCTTTTTATATTGAGTAATAGCATCAATTACTTTTGGTGTGGCTACTTTTGGTTTTGAACCACCAATGACACCAGGACGAATTGAACCGGTTTGTTGAAATCTAAAGAAAATAAAAGAATTTTTTTCAATTAACCTATTCAAATAATTGAGAAAGATATTTTTGTTGCATTTTTGACATGATTAATTTTTTATGATGCTACAAAAACGATCAGAGTGCCCTGTTATCTCGATTCTTATCTCTTGTATCATATTATACCTGATAAAAGAAGTCTCTCTACTTCTATCAGATAGTTAGAATAAAGTCATGCAACAAAAATAAAAGTAAAAATGAAAAGTAATAAAACAGTTTCTGTCAAAACCTGCCAAGTATCTTGCTAACACAACCATGTGAAACCTAGAATAAGAGAAAAAAAAACCAACATAAAAAATGGTATGTTATAATAACGTATGACTAACCTTTAATTGTCTCGATATGTCACATGGTCTGATTCCTTGTTGTGCTAAATTGACAATTTGTTGTCGAACAATATCGGGTAATGGTCTTCCATTAACAAATAATCCTCCTAACTGATTTATACCACCATGACCTTTGAAGTAAAAAAGAAAAATAATATTATCATTAAAAATAATTAATATTTTTGTAATTCGAATACGTTTCGGTCTACTAACTATCCGAATCTTCTTGCATTGCTGAATTCACCATTTCTTTTCTTTTTTCCACTACACAAAAATAATGATCAACCACGTTTCTTCCGTTACTTTTCGTTTTTTACTAATGGGTGGCGAAAAGAGATGTCGATCTATGCCTCTTCGCGTACCGTTTATTTTTCTGATTGTCAATTACATCAAAGTCATTAGTTGGAGAGAGAAAGAGAAAAGAGAGAAAGAGAGAGAGAGAGAGTGCCTCGAGCAATGATCGGTGATCTTCGATTTTGGGAGAATAGTATGCGTTAAACGTGTGATGAGTAAAAGGAACGCATAGAAAATAGTTTTTTTCACCTTCACTTTTCTTTCATTTATTTTTCGTTCATTTATTTCATTTTTCTTTTCAAAAACGACGATGACAAAAATTAAAATAATAAATGCCAGTGACAACTACTGCAGTGAAGATGTGTATAAAAAAAAAAGATAGCAATCTCGATGTAGCTTGTATATATCATCCATCCATTAATAGAACTTAAACATATATTGAAAAGAAAAATAGGAATAAGACAACCGTTCACAAATACTAATTCATAATTATTCACTATGTTTTATAAAACAAATACAATGCATAAAAGATGCGTCTTCATATTCATCGTATCTAGAGAGAGAGAGAGAAGAGAAGAGAAGAGAGCGTTCTCTCACTAATATATACAGTACAAATCTTTCACGCAGAATAATATCACTATTTCCAATTGTTTGTTTTGATAGTAATCAAAGACTTGATAAGTGTTTTTAAACGTGTACACTTGTGAGACTAAAACCCTATTTATAATGAATAGATTCTACAAATTTATGAGAATCTTTCCTAATACATCTATCTATATTGACTTACCAGAGACAGTAATAGATTTCTCAGTCAATTTAGTATTAATATACAAAAAAAGATATTTTTATATTCGAAGTTTTAAACTAAGATCTTTAATAACCTGAAATCTTGATGTACACTACACAGAGTCAACATTTCTCTTTTCACCATATTGAACAGCATGATATATCAAACAGAAAAGGGGTCTATCCTGAATTCTTAGGCGTGGTTGGTTCATATACTAAAACTGTAAGCAACTCATTTTTATCTACCATTACTATAAAAACATTGAATTAGTAAATTACTCTAACCGAAAATACGAATGAATTGAAAAACTCACATCGATAGTATTCGAAATATTGACCGTGCTAGATCAAGTACATGTACGCTGTAGACTGTAAAAAAACAGTAGCTTACCTGAATTCTTAATCTGTGTCTATATATTTAATAAGCTAAACTTCTTTCTTTAGTAAAATAATTTAAGTGATATCTACCATAATCGTCACTACTTCTATACTACTTTACTATGGTGGTGTTCGTACATATTTTAGAGAATAATGCATGCTTGATTAGCTATGCATGGAAGATGACCCCTAGTTATAGCTGTGTGAGTTTTTTCAAATACATCATGTATCAATGTGTTCTGTCACGCACCCCTGCCCTCGTTAGGTTTTAAAATAAAAAAACTTATTATCATTATCATTTACAAATTATTTTTTGTAGCAAAGTTTGTATAAGTTTTTCTGAAAAATTATTCAAATTTTTTATTTTTTTATTAACACCTATTTTGAACTTTTTTAAATAGAGAAACATTTGAATTACCTTCATCACTATTTTCTTTCGACGAATGTCTTGATGTGCGAACTATAATAGTAAAATAAAAATAATATTAAATTTCGTTAAGAGTAGAAACGTTACATTTCAAAAAGTGAATAAGGACTGTAGAGAATGAGAAAATACTTACGGAAAATTAAAACTCATTGACTTGCATACACTCAACCTCTAACTGTATAATAATAATGTGCTGCTAGTGACAGAAATACTGTCTTGTTCCAACAAACTGATATATTTATTCAAACTTTACAAATCACGAATCTATTTTTAATAAAACTTTTATACATCAATTTTGTTGAGCAATCGTTACTGTTTTTTGATAGTATAGCGATAGAAGGTCGTTATCTACTGCGGTACGACTAACTGATCATAATAACACAATCCATTATCAAATGTAGAATACCATATCTGCCTGACTCAATAGCTAAGATGAATAGTAAGAGGATAGTGGTCTAGATAGTTTAGTTGCTAATTTGTAATGAAAATATTAGTTCTGTTTATAGGGAATGCTACACATTTAAATGGTTACAGTATAAAATCCCATGCTTGATGATGTTAAGCAATCTGTATCACATGGTTGATCAAACGGAAATGTATTGATGCGTATAGATACGTCCATACTGTCTTAGTTTAAGTATACTCAGTTTTTCTCTTGTTTTAACATCTTGATTTATGTGAGTGAACACGAAAAGAACGAAAACTGTGCCAAATCTATATGCATGATTGATTAAATGTAATTACCACTGCTTAGGTACTCATTTTTTTTTTCAACGAGTAGAAAACAAAATTACCTGACTTACGTCTGTTGGTACCACAATTGTTATTATTTGTTGAATTATTATTTGAACTACTATTACTTTCATTCGTATTGGCATAGTGTTGTTCGAAGTCAAATGGTGAGGGTGAATTTCCGAAATCAAATGAATTAGTTTGATGTTGGTGATGATGATTTCCATCGGTCAAACCAACATAATTACCGGCATTCCGATCCATTAATGGGGCAAATTATCTAAAACAAAAGAATCAAAAAAAAGAAGTGAGTACTGAATGTTTTGAAACCATCATAAGAGATCGTTGAATTATTCCATTAAGAATAGATTTTTTCAGTATATCTCTAACATCCATTTCTAATAAAATATCTATTTAGCACACATCAAATGTGACGATCTTACTCTTACTAACAATACCTCTATTTTGTACATTTTCTTCTCTTCATAAATTACTAATGGAGAAAAAACTACGTTTTCTTTACTGTAACTTGAATTGGAACATTTGGTTGTTTATATCGATATGATAAGTATCTCAACAAAAAACTTGATGTAATCATCACTCGCCCAAGCACTTCGCATCAATTGTTACTAGATAATTTTTATACTAAGAGATAGATCTGTCCCATTTTCACCGAGTTTTATTTAACTTTCATCTGTAAACATTCTTATTACTGATAGTTTCGATTTAAATTGAAGTCTATTTCGTTCTACGTCATTTTCGAATGAAACTGAATTAAGTAGAAGATCTACTGAGTGAATCGATAGGCATGATCGTGAAAAATGAGGTCTCTAATTAGTTTTAATTTCCAATAATTTTCACGAACGCTTCGATTTGGTAGTGCAATTTTTAAAGCACTTTGCGCTAATGGCAATGGCAACGAATGTGAGATATATTAAGTTAAACAATAAAGCGTTGAATAGATTTTATACATGAACAAAGTGGACTCTATAAATCACGAAATTAATGAGCGTTGAATTGAAGAGATTTGAGGAACTATGATGAGAGGTCGTTTAATCAGTTAATCTTGTGCGAAAGATTTTCGAAAACACAAGAAGAATGAAAATCTTTGTACTACTCTAAAACTTAAATCGTAGACTTGAATAGAGTAGATCAAGGATGGAGTGATCGATTGAGCAATACTCATACAAAGAAAAACTTTGAAGATTTTACTACAAACGTTCTCAGATGACTAATCCAGTCTAAAATAAGATCGATTACTTCTTAACAGTGTCTCTTTTCTTTTGCGACCCATCTTTTGTGACATTAGCAATGTTGTTGGACTGTCAGTGCACTGATTGTGTTGATTGCTTTTCTATGTTAAAGTGTTTAAATTGCAATTAGAGGCTCGGTTCAAAGAGTGAACAACATCATATGCTCTGAATCATTAGTAAAGAAATGTTGAACATTATCGTTTTGGTCATAATTACACATACATATCAGAAGTGAAGAAGAAAATATTGCAATATTCGTACCTTTCGTGTTTGGTCACAGCTCAATGCATACTATTTGTGAATATGGTGAAACAAAGATACAGTCGTAAAAATAGTCAACAAAAAGAGGAAAAAGGTAATAAGAAAACGACACAAAAAAAAAATCAAACTATTTTTCTCTTCCCCCAATATAATTTCAACGATCACCCACTCGTTTAGTGCTTCTTATTATCGATGGTGTTTATCTCGCTTATACAAGTGTATAATATCCGTTGTCGTACTCGTATGATTGGGAATAGATGATTTTATTCAGCCAATAACAATATTGAAAAGAAAGAGAGAGAATTGTATTTTGATAATAGTTTTATCTCTTCTTCATCGAACAAAAATCACTACGAGAACAATATCATTATCAAATTTTGGTGAAGAGGTAGATGTAAATAACTATCTCATGATCAAATCCATCATACAATATCTGTCTACCTAGTTTAGTTTGCTTGCGTGACATATTTGAAGAAAATATGTGCTATTGGTCTTGAAAAAATGATAATTATATAGCAGTTTAGAAAAATGAAATGACATTTTGGAATTTATGAATAATGAGTGAAATGCATATTTTCTCTCACAAATATTCAGATGAATACAATTTAGAATAGATCTTGATCATCGTTAATCTGTCTTTAAGGAAAAATTTTCGAATAATTTAGTGAGATAATAATAAAGAAATATAGAGAGATGATCAGTAAATTAGCAAATGTTTTCGTGTTAGCATAATTTTGTTTTGTGTTGCAGTTTTTAGTTATTTCGATTTTTCAATTCCAACAGTAAAAAATTGAATTGTTGAGCTATTAGTTAACATAAAACAAACGAAATATCAGTGTACAATCTAGAAAATAACATGAATTATCTTCAAAAATTCGTTTGCTTCTTTTTAACGGGCATTTTGAGACGATAGCACGAAAAAATCGATTTTGCACTATGATTCATGTGCAGTTTTCTCTGGAATTGAATCGGATCTTAAACATCACTTATGTCAATCTGTTTATCTACAAGTAAATCATTCGAGTAATCGTGTATTATTTAGGATTTATTTTATCGTTCTTAAGCAAAAACCTATCATACTTAACGACAGTAGTGTGTGCTCCACTAACGAAATAACGTCGTACATAATCATTAGTATAATACATTCATTGTTCGAACTCATGGAAGATGGGTTTCTAATTTTCTAAGTCAATTAGAGCTGCATCACACCTTCTTTAACAAGAAGTTTTTGCTATATAAGTGTTTACAATAACACTTTCATTTTTTAGAAATCATCGAGGTGTACTAGGAAAACTGCAAGTTGCATAGCTTAAAAAGTGAACAGTTCAGGCTACATATCAGCGAGTTGAACCATTGTTCTTTTTTTTAACAATCGAAGACCTTTAGTATTTCCTTTTGGATGCGGAAAACTCTTTATTAATTCAGTTATAACCCATCATTTATTGTCTAAAAGTACAGATAGTAACCACCTTACTTTCCACAAATAACTAACTACTAACAGATACTAGAGCAGAGACAACAGAAAACTTTTCTTTTCTTTCTTTTTGACAATGAAATACAATAGAAAGCTGTGTGTGTAACGCTCTGTATCACGTGCCGTTTCATTAATATACGAAAAAATAACGCAAAGAGAACAAGCATAACTGTGATGCTTAGTCAAAATTTTGAGTAACTTTTCAACTTCGGACTAATCTTTTGCAAAATACAGTAAAAAGTGAACGAACGCAGCAAGTATTAGAAATGTTTAATGAATTTAAGCCTCAATATGGAAAAAACAGAAAAAGCCAAAGAATGTGGTATGAGTGTATACTGAATTTTATAGAAAATTCTATTCTAGAATAAAGTATTCGAACTGTAGAAAATAAAGAAAATAAAAATGTTCCATGATTACTTCGTTACTCGTCAAATCATGATTGAATTTAGAATTTATGAAACGCTGCTATACTCTCATCGATGTTGACACATTCTTTAAACCAACTTTATCAATCAATTGGTTGAATATTCTTTTAAATCATATGCTAATTGTGTTACTGATCTAAAAATTTTATGTTTTTGAATATCGATGACATTTGATTAAGAAATAACAAAATTTGTGAAAACATGTGATCGAAAATTTACAACGCAATCATCTCATATCTAGCGAAAAAAGAAAAAATGTCTAGATACTCAGTCATCATTCATTAGTAATGATAGTGATCACAGCATATCTATTTTGAAATATGAAAATGTTTAATAACCAGCTCTCTTTCGTATATTACAGTTAGATAAATAAGTAGGTGTTAAATAGTTTTTCTCATGATCTGAAAATGTGTCAAATATTATTCAATGTCTACAAGTAAAGTGGTGTTATATTGAATAGAATAACTTTTATTACTTTGATGTTCCCATACTACAACGTGTAATCACTGACTCGTATAATATATTTTTTGAAAAAAAAACAAAAACTAAAATAAAATTAAAAAATATATTCAATGATCAATATTTGAAAGAAGTACACAATTAATCTATAACCTCTAGTCACAATATCAATATAAATGCAATTAGAAAACATGAATCACCGAAGTAATAATAATTGCTTAGAATATCCAATGAAGTTAGTTATTTAACTCCCTTGTACCATCTATACAGATACAAATGAAACATCAGATGAAAATATAAATGATTTAATCGGTAATAGTTGTTAACATGTTTTTTGAAAATTGTTGAAAACGTACTGCGGATATTTTATTAAATTTTATTATGTTATTAAAACATACCCTTATAAAATTGTCATTAATTCAATCTTCTATCTTCTTAATCATGTTAATCATAAATAGAAGGCAACACTTTTTCAAAACAAATTCATCACACAATCGGTACTTTTAGATCTACGTTCATCTATTGTCATATATATTCTATAATCATGATCTTATAGTTGACAATGTATATTATGTGTGAAAATAGCTGACACTCATATTATAGATATACGGATTATATTTTCTTGAAATTATTTCATTTCTTATGTATATTTTGTTAATTAATCGCTAATAAAAAAACTGATGTCAATGTGTGTATTTTATCACCTTCAAGTACCACAATAATAAAAAAGTAATAATTTCAACTTGACTTGGATATTAAGACTAAAACACAGTATTTCGTTTACTAGCTTGAATGATAAATATTTTTGTTTACTGGACCAAATGAAACATTTTTTTTCTAGAATAGAAAATTTTTTACGAGGAAGTTTTTAACGTCAGAAGAAGGAAGCTGATGACTGGAAACAATTTTAGACATAGATTATGTGGAAAAGGTTAAACTCACGTCAAGAGACTTTCTTCTTTATAGTTCTTCAAAAAGTGATGATCAGAAATTGTATTGTTTTAATAGGTACTCATCAGATCATTAAGAAAATCAACTTTGGGAATCACCATGTTACTCAACATTCGCTTTCTACTTTGTTTTCTTGTTAGCGATTTGGTACAACTGATTATCATAAATCGACTCGTCGGTAGATAATCCATTTATCAGATGATCTCATTTTTGCCGTGATACCATTTAGAATCTATGCGTAGATAAGGGCCTTTATTAGGAATCTATTTGCATCCACTTAAGTCGGATCCTGATATGTTACGGACAGTTTACAGCGAAAATTTTCATTTAATATATTATGTAAGTCAGGCATTATGGACACAATCATAGTCAGAATATGGGTGAAATCAAGAGAAAGTTTTTATAATGGTGTTAACCAACAGAACACTCGCTTCTGGCATA